TTATATTAGTGTCAGTGACCACTGTAAAGTATACAGGCCTAACACCCCCATGTTGAACCTCTAGTAAATACCAACGGTCATATGACAAATTCGTTATAGTTATGTAAAATTCGTCACGATTATTGACTTCCAACCGCAAAAAACACTTTAATAACAAAATTTGTACATGTTAACATTTTCATGCCGTGACATTAATCAAAATGGGTTGTTTTTCTAAAGTTGACCATTTCATTTCAGAACTAACATCAGCTATTGTTTATTTTTGATATATTCAAGTTATATATATTCGACCTCACCCCTTGTCACATAAAACCTTTGATAAAAACCACGCCATATATTATTAGACTCGGAATATTGTAGGCAACCTAATGTAGCTACCTTCAGCAGATTAATCAGCCATTTTTGAATATTGTACGACCCCCTATATAATTCCATGATTAGATTTGCAGATGGTTGTCGCGTAAGCAACAGTGAATTTTAACTATCCAACAAACCCCAAATCAAACTACTCTTGTTTTGGACATTCACATAACTGCTGGTTAATTATAGAACACATAGTAGCTATACAGGACACCAGATTTTTGCTTTCCAGTAATCTTATTACATTAAGAGTTGGGAGATGCTTATGAAAATTTGTTAATAGTAGCCTACAATATCCTCCCCCAGTGTAACCACTATTCGTAGATTTTTTTTATAAACAATATTTTATTCACAGAAAAGGATTGAGGAACAGGCTAGGCCTATATTACCTCCCTCCTGTATGACAGAAAATATATACAAAAAGACTATATAAGCATGTTATGATAGAATCAATCTAAATAGTATAAAAATAAAAGGGCTATGTATATATTTACAATTTCAGGTTTGCCATATTAATATTTTTAGGTACTAGATAAAAGTTTTAATTAAACCTTCCGGAGATGTCTAGAAATCTATGGACTTGTTTAAAGATAATCTTTAAGTGGCATTTAGCGATCGGAGACACATTAACAGAACACAGTTTTTATGGGATACAATCACTAGTTTTATTCTAAAAGCACGACGTTTCGACAAGTATCCACTTATCGTTATCAAGCACAATGACATTTAGTTCGTTCGTTTCTGGGGTTTTACGTCCACTTCCACCTAAGGTGATATCGTAGACAAAGGACATCGCAGACAAGACATAGGAGAGCCGAAGCTGATTCCTGTTTTTTAGAATATGATTTTGCAATCTTTCCATTTGGCCTTAGGCCATGGATTTGGTTTAGTGGGAAGTTCTTCCCTTTATTTAATACAAAACATATCGTTTGGTAGATGATCTCGTCTGCTTCTGGATTGGTAGATGTCATCGTTTGGGGTTAGTGTTTAGGTGCCAGGCCCGCCTTATCGTGGCCTCCCCTTTCTCCACTGTCCCACTCTCTGGGTTTGGTATCCGTTTTATTTGCGGAATAGTGTTTAGGTGCCAAGTTCGTCTGACCTTAACACCCCCTTACTCCACTATCCTGCTAGTTTGGTAGATGTCATCTTTGTGGGGTTTGTGTTTAGGTGCCAGGCCCGTCTTATCGTGACCTCCCCTTACTCCACTATCCCACTCTGTAGGTTTGGTGTCTGTTTTTGGTGGAATAGTGTTTAGATGCCGAGTCCGTCTGATCGTGACTCCTCCTTACTCTACTATCCTGCCAGTTTGGTATAAATCTAACCGTGACCCCCTCTTACTTTACTATTCTACTTAGTCCAACTGTGTCCATTAGGGCGTGGATTTGTTCGAAGATTTGCAGTTTCAGATCTGGTCTCGGGAAGAGTAGGGTCTTAGTGTTGAATGGTATGTTGTTGGTCTCCATTGTTCTCACTAGTTCCCTTCTCTCCTCCTCGTATACCTCGCAGTCTACCAGGACATGGTTGGCGGTACATTCTTTTCCGCACTCACAGATGATGACTTGGTGTTTGTAGTCTCGCAGCCGCTCTTTCACCCTTAGCTTCGATATAAGTCTACAAATATCTCTTCTAGGGTGATTGAGTGTTGTCTTTGTGTAGATCTTGTCATCCAGCCGGAATCTGTCTGTATGTGTCAAGTTCAACGAGATTTAATTTCCAGATTGAATTGACGTGTCTTTTGACCATACTGTAGATTTCCGTGGTGCTGTGGTGCTGTGTCCTTGAGACCTTCATTGGCGAGTCGATCTGCCTCCTCGTTTCCTCTAATGTTGACATGTGATGGAATCCACACGAGTTCTACTTTGCTTCCCTTCTCTAAAACCCTCTGGTACAGCTGCCTGATTTCCAAAATGACTTCTGGTCTTGAGTCCGAGTTGTCATTTTGGATTGAAATCAGACTGCTCAGAGAGTCGCTTGGAATGACGAACTTACTAGTCTTTTCAATAATATCATTTATATAAATAAGGAAGAGGAGCGGTCCGAGGACAGAGCCCTGTGGATTACCAGCAGGGACGGTCAAGGGAGAGGACGACGTACCACTGACAATCACAGATTGGCTTCTATTGGTTAAATAACTTCTGAACCAGTCAAGTTGATTTTATCGTCCAGTTTTTGAAAATATTCCTTCTTACATTTCCTAATTAAGTCAATATATTCGTTTCTAATATGTCTGAAGTTTTGCCAATCCTGGTCAGAATTTGATTTTACAGCACGCTTGTGAATTTTGTTTTTCTTTCTTGCAAGTTTTCTAATACTATTATTCATTCAAACTTTATCACGTGGTCGGTCTAATATTTATTACTTTATTTGGAATATTTTTCTTTGCAATCTTTGTCAGTTCACATGTAAAAGCAGCACAGGAAAGCTCCACAGAATCATCAACAATGGACTCCTAGTATGTCAAAACGTCATGTCTCAGCCCGTCATAGTCAGTCTTATCATAAAGCCAGATAGTACGTTTAAAGCATGAGCGCTTGGGGCATTTAAAATTAAGTCGACTGTATACAGGCCAGTCATCACTACAAAAATTATCAAGACAGCCAGATTCGGAAATAAAACTAGAACAATTACATAAAATAAGATCAATTAAGGTATTAGAGCCCTGTTTGTTGTAACGCGTCGGGTCAGAAATTAATTGATTAAAATAAAAAAGAGACATGGCATTATGAACAAAAGTATTACGTTAATAAATCAAGGTTTAAATCACCAAAAATTAAAATCTTGTCAATATCGCTTGACGCTGCTGCACTAAAAGAATTGAATATATAGTTATCCACGTCAATTTTAGAATTAGGTGGTCTGTAAAAAGTACCAATTAGAAATTTGTTTTTATTAATGTTTGTTTCAATCCAGATGCATTCTATACTGTCGACTTCTAAATCAGATCTACGTTTTAACATGTATTGTTTTTTAACATAAAGAGCTACTCCCCCACCCTGCCCGTCCTTCCTGTCCTTTCGTATGATGCTTTGAACATTTGGGATAGACAGTGATTTAGAAGATATGCTTTTGTCAAGCCACGATTCTGTAATGAAGATAAAATCATAAACAATAGCTAGCCAGGTCCGCAGTAATAAGATCAACTTTGTTTCGGAGACTCCTTACATTGAAATTCACCACAGCAACAGTATCAGTGGGACCGGGATTTTGTTCGACATCTCCGGAAAGAAGTATGAGTTTGAAGTGTACATAAGAATACTATATATTATCCATCTGAAATAAAATATATATGCTAGATTTCTTGAAAATACAATATGAAAAAACTTTTTTTTTCTATAACGTTCAAAGTGGGAATAAAAATAGTTGGTAATAGTTTTGGCATACCTGAAAACAAATACCAAACAAGAAGTAACATATTTACAAGACAATATATAAACAAAATATATACATTTAAGTCTCCTTGAGTTATGCATACAATGATGCACTTAACCGGCAGAATATAATTATAATTTATTTCATTTTACAGTACATGTAATGTTAGTATAAAATACAATTTCAATTATATAATACAAAATTAAATAGGATGTTTTAAAATTATGACCAGTTAATGTTAAATACAGTTAAGTTCAATATTTTCAAATAATCTATAATCTATATACTTCCATTCGTTATTTTCAAATAATCTATAATTTATATAATTCCATTCGTTAAAACATATTTGAAATGGAATATGTACTCAGTACGATATAGGTCAATTGTAGTTATTAGAACAAAGTTTAGAATAATAGATGAATTGCTGTCAATTCGAAGGGAATGTTCTAATTTTTTCCATAAAAACAAGGATCAATAGAATATATAACTATTTGGAATACTGTGGTGTTTAAAGGTAAGTAAGTTTAATATGATATAGAAGCTATTATAAATAATCATTTAGATGAAGTTCAATAGGATATAGGAGTAAGGATATAAAATCAATCATTAAACAAAGTTTAATATATTATAAAGCTATTCTACATGTATGTATTAACTAAAGACAAGTTTTATAAAATTTAATCATTTAATCATATGATATAGAACTATTATGAAACAATGTATGATATTTAAGGTAACTTGTGTAAATTTATTCATTTAAACAAAGTTCAATATGATGTAAAACTATAATGATTCACTGTATGATATTTAACCAGAAGTTGTATAAATCCGATCATTAAACAAAATCTGATTATTAAACAAAGTACAATATGATATAGACCATTGTGAAACTGTATGATATTTCAAGTTAAGTTGTATAAATTTTTCATTAAAATCAAAGTTCAATATGATATAGATCAATAATATAATGAACACTGTATGGTATGTGAAGGTAAGGTGTATGCTTTAAACATTTAAACAAAATTCAATAAGAGATAGACTTATTATGAAACACTGAATGATATTTAAAAGTTGTATTAATATAATTCTTACAAATAAAGTCTAAATATGATATAGATCTATTATGAATCATTTTATGAGATCTAAAGCCATGTATAACAACTTTAATCATAGTGACAATGCATGTTATTTAAAGACAAGATGAATAACTCTATTGAATCAAAGCTCAATATAACAAAGAAACTATTTTTAACACTGTATAATATTTACAGGTATGTTGTGTAAATTTATAAAGTTCATTAGGATATAGAAAGTATTATGAACACTGCATGATATTTACAGGTAAGATTAATAATTTAAAAACAATTTTCAATAAGATATAGTATGTATCATGACAATATCATATATTAAAACATAGGGTCATACTTTGGATAATTCACTGTTAAATACATAAAATACTCTGCCTGTTTTCAACCCGATCTTACTTATCCGCCATCTTGCCATTCGTAGATGTAGGAATTGCAATTGTAACTCTTAGTGTAATATTGTTACTGTAATATACATAATAATAGTGATTGTAATTGCTACGTGCAGTGTAATACCTTCCAATTTTACTACACTAGGGGTTGCCTCAGAGCACCCCTAGTGTAGATTACAATCGAGATATATTAATTGCACTTTACTAACGATAGGATGGGACCGATGCGGTCAGTTAATGGGTTAGTCATGCTGTAAACCGACTAATTATGGTCATTTTCCATTACGGAAGACATTTTGTCAGCATAATTTCTGCCTTTCCGAGATAAAACCCGCTGACTTAAGTATAGCCGGGTTGTAATTCATAAAGATTTAATAAATACCATACCCCAACCAGGCGATACAGTCCAGGAGGTATACACTTGACTTAAGATGTTTGTGTAATTTGTCGCGTCCTTGCTGTAGTTTTTCATCTTGATTTAACAATTATTTCAATGTCTTAAGAATCATTTGTACATTTAGGTTACATACCGCACTATTAAACATACATTATGCAAGAACTGAGTCCGCCTATTGCGGGTCTTTCTTTGCGCCTGAAATGTTATATAACCTATTAATTAGACAATTATTAACATGAAAAGACCTTAATCAACTCTCGATGCCATCTTATGTGTCGGATTTCCACTGTATTAGAATCCGATCTGCTGCTCTACGATCATTGATGATTAAATCCAAAAGTGGATAAAGTTTTTATTGAACCGACTTTAGTAATGATGATCAAGGCTTGACGGAAAAATCAATCGCTAATATCTTGGTTCAGAGTGGAGCAATTTAACAGAAATTTCCAGCATATTCCCTTTATATTATCTAGTTTTAATACGACCACATTTTCATGTGGACGTATTATGCCGTCGCCCCTGTTTGTCCGTCCGTCCGTTCCCAATTTGTTTGTGGACACTCTACGGGTCACAATTTTTATCCGATTTTGACGAAACTTGAAATATGTCTATCTCTCAAAGATCTCGGTTCCTGTCGATATTGGCATGTATCGGACCATAACTTCATGGATTATGGCCCCTGATTGTACGAAAAACCACGTCTTTAGCTTGTGGACACTCTAGAGGTCACAAAGTTCATCTGATTTTGATGAAACTTGAAATGCATCTTTATAACCCAAAGATCTTGGCTCCTTTCGATATTTGCGCATATCGGATCGTAACTTCCTGAATTATGGTCCCTGACTGTACGAAAAATCGCGTTTTTAGCTTGTGGACCCTCTAGAGGTCACAATTATTATCCGATTTAAAAGACCGTTTGGCGGAGTTCGAATTTCGTGAAAATCGGACAAAAACTGACGGACATAATGGTTGCCCCTTATACGCAAATAGTTTAAAAATATGGTATAAAAGGTTGTGGGACCCTCTAGAGGCCACAGTTTTTATCCGATTTGGATGAAACTTTAATATATGTTTCTATCATACAGATCTTGGTTCCTATGTGATAATCACACATATCTGAACGTAACTTCCTGGATTATGGCCCCTGATTATTTGAAAAATCGTATTTTTAGCTTGTAGATTCTCTAGAGGTCAGAATTTTTCTTCCGATTTTAAAAACCATTTAGATATATCACCATTCCACCATAATGAAGGTTGAATTCGAATTTCGGGAAAATCGAAATGAAACTGCCTGACAAAATGGCCGCTCTTTGTACGCAAATTGTGTATATATAAGTATGTAATACAAAGGTTATGGACCCTCTAGAGGTCACAATTTTTATCCAATTTTGATGAAACTTAAAACATATCTTTATATTCCAAAAATCTCAGTCCCTTTTGATATTTGCGCATTTTAGACAATAACTTTCTGGATTATGGTCCCTGATTGTACAAAAAGATCGTTTTTGTCTTTAGCTTGTTCTCTATCCATCTCTTGCAAAATTTGGGCGTATCCTGCCTGACAGCTGCTGGTTAACTATTATAGTGAGAACTGTAAGCTCTATCTAATCTTCCATAATGCCCTTTAGACTAGGTTATTAAATAAATACATTATCCATTTCAGAATGGCGGGTTTCTATATATTACTGGTCGTTTTGGTTACCAAGGTCTCCTGTCATACACCATGCACTATGGCGGATGATGAGTGTGAGTTCTGGTTCGATCTTAAATACACAATGACAATGGTAAAAGATGAAGAAGCATTATATCCAAAAGATGGTAAATTATACAAATATGATGTCATGAACACTAGTACAGTAGAACCAATCCCCACCGAAGGTGTTGCAACAGCCGATGGTTGGGAAGAACCGCGTCTTCTTATTGTAGTTAATGGACAGTTTCCTGGTCCGGCATTGGAGGTCTACGAAGGTCAAACAATAATTGTGCATGTTACAAATTCTTTACCGAGTGACTCAATGAGTATACATTGGCATGGTTTACCACAAAGGGGGAGCCCTTGGATGGATGGGGTATCTTTCATAACTCAATGTCCAATATTGCCTGGACAGAGTTTCACCTATCGATTCAAGGCTACGCCACGAGGAACATTTTGGTATCATACCCACATAGGGTTGATGAGATCGATGGGCCCATATGGACCCCTAATTATCAGAGAAAAGAAACAGTTAAGGGAAAGGGAGTTTGTGTTCACAATTACTGAATGGAATCATGACTGGGATTCTAACCTTGCCCAATTAAAAGAGGAAGATGGGATGTTCGTTAACCGAAAACCAATTGATCCTACCTTTTCTCTGGACGGCGCCGAGTTCAGTTTGTTTCGATTTCAATCAGCTTTAATAAATGGTAAAGGTAGATATTATGATCCAACAGGCAAACACAACGAAGCGCCGCTGGAAGTATTTACTGTGACTCAGAATGCTAGTTTCATTTTTCGCGTTATCGCAGTAGGAGTTCAATTTCCTTTTAGAATATCCATTGACGATCATGACTTAATCATTATTGCATCTGATGGCTTTGATCTTCGACCAAGGTCGGCAGAATCATTTATTATTAACCCAGGGGAAAGGTTCGATTTCAGAATACAATCAGACAAGTCCGTCAACAATTACTGGATACGAGCGACATCTCTTGAACTCGATGTTGATCATTTTGGATTAGCTATTTTAAGATACGAAGGCGCGCAGGAGGTCGACCCAAAAAGTTCGAGAAAGGTGTGCAAACCACCAAGTAAATGCGTAGTTGTGAATTGTCCATTTCTGTTTTACCCTACACAATCAAATACTGAATGCATTACTTTTGATCAACTTAAATCTAAAGAAGACGATCCAGCCCCCACAGGACCAATTGGCGAACAAGAAGAACATTTTCTTAACTTTGGTTTTCCTGGAATATCTTGGAAACCTGGTGCCGTAAATGGCAGAACTTTCAAAAAACCGCCCGTATCTGCACTTACTCAACCCCAAGAAATCGGTTTGAAATGTAAAGACGATTGTGGAGATGAGAAAGTCTGTCAATGTCCATATTCCCTGGATTTAGAAAATGGCAAAGTTTATCAAATGATTTTCTTAAATATGGGTGCGGGAAAGGGATTTTCCCATCCTATTCATATGCATGGCTATTCGTTTTACGTTTTGAAAATGGGCTATGCACGGTACAATGCCACTAATGGTAAAATAATTGGCGACAATTTGGATATCAATTGCAGAGGAAATGCCGACAGGGAACTGAGTTTTTGCAACGCAGCAACATGGGCTAATTCGTCATGGCTTGGAGGTAACGTACCTGGTATTGAATTAGAAAACCCACCCAGAAAGGACACCATCATTGTTCCTACTGGAGGTTACGTTGTAGTTAGAATCATTGCAGATAATCCAGGTTTATGGTTCGTTCATTGTCACATAGAACTGCATAATATGGATGGAATGGCACTGGTCCTCAATAATTCTTTTCCAATGATTCCGTTGCCCCCACCTGGATTTCCCAGATGTGGTAATTTTGACTACAATACACCGGCTCCTCCGAATCAAAGCACAATGAAAAATAAAGATGGCGATAAAGATGGTGACGAAAACAACACAATTACAGCTATGGATACTCTAGGTAAGTAGGTATGATATGAGTTGAAAATGAAAATACATAGAATCAATAGTGTATGGAATAGTAATTAATGATGAACAAACATTTACAGAATCTAATGCCCCCCCCCCCCCCACACCTCTAAAATAAATCACTATACAAGACTCTAATAACTACATTATCTGGTTAAGTACCTATAACCACACGGAGTTATAAGCTGGATTTTAATCGGGCTTCGATTTTAATTTTAAGTGGCGTATTTAGCCCCGTCACCGAAAACTTGTAATCGTTCTGAAGGTCAGGTTGTTTTCGTTTTGTTTTAAAATTTTGATGGGGGGGGGGGATGGTTTCGATGGGTCACTTGCCCAACCTCGTGGGTTTCTCTGGGTCCTCCGGTTTCCTCTCACTGCAAAAGACGCCTACGCGAAAGCAAATTATTGAAATATAATTGAACCATGGGATAGTCTCTAAATAACCTATCACAAGGTAGTCCCTGTCGAAATAAAGTCACGCTCTTTAAATTGTCGCACTGTTAATTATCGAAACCTTGTGGACACTATGGTCAAAAGTTTTTGAAATTTAAAAAATGTTTTCCGGGATTGGTCGGCTAGTCATGAAGAACCCTATCGAAACTCGCCAGAGTGATATAACATTTTGTAGCCATGACAGTAAAACGTTTGGTGTGTAGGGTATATCATACGTTTCTTATAGATGAACTTCCATCACGGTGATCTTATTCCCATCAGAATCTTACGGTGGACGTATTTTCGTATTAGAAATACTGGCTGGGGTTTTCTCGTTTTTTTTTGCTAAAAAGATGATGACTTCTGTTGCCTGCGAGATCCTTCGTAATATAGCGATCAGAGGCATGGTGTGGGATAATTAGGACTGTTCTAAGCAACATACATTGCGATATATTTCAATATATTTTGACATTATGAAAATTGTATAAATGGGCATTTTTTAGTCTATAAAATATTGAGAAATGAGCAAATGGCAGATGATGTAACCACTGTGCAGGTATACTGCTTTTAACGTTGTGTTTTATTCTTATAGTGCTGACGAGCTACAATTTATCTTTCATATTTTTCAGACGCACTAAAGAACAACAACACATTCTGGGCGATCACTGGATGTTTGATGGCTTTAGTGGTGATAGAATTTCTTATTTTGGTATATACATGTCGGAAAGCAACAAATACGTTGAAAAGCAAACCGTTTGATTCAGTTGCGATGAAATAGTGCACAATCCTGATTGAAGATACTGTTTCACAGTAAACCAAAGAAAAGTTTTAAGTCATAAATATAGATTTGCGCTTTTAGGGCCTTTGCTTATTAGTAATTTGACAGTTACACACCTTTTCCGTTGTTTCTGAGGAGCTAAACTAACACTCGCACACAGTATTTTACTCTAAGCAGGTCGGTGCTCAGATTTTCGGTTATTAGAAGTCGGATCTTAGCTTATTTTAAATGCATTATTCAAATATTCTCTAAGCAGGTCGTTGCTCAGATTTTCGGTTATTAGAACTGGTATCTTAGCTTTTTTTAAATGCATCATTCAAATAGCAATAATTAGCTTTACAACTGGTGACTATATATTTAGTAGTTTGTGAAATATGTTTCAATTCATTGATTTGAAAATATCCATGATGTTGTAACTGGTGTTCGAGAAATTACTCCCAAAAATAAATATATTGTAAGTTGTATAGCAATGTGTAAGTGCCCATCCATCGTTACCAGTGTTTGTGCATTGTGTTGTGTTCAATATTATGACAACTACATAAGCGATTTCAGAAACCACACTTGACCTTAACTTTAATCCAGGGACCTGTTTCACGAAATTTTAACTAAGATAAAATCCAAATTTTAGTAATTTGATTGAATAATAATAGATTGATTATAATGCTTAGCCAATCAAAATTCAAGTATCTACTAAAATTGGATTTTATCTTTGGTTAAGATTTCGAGAAACAGGGGCCAGATGTTAAAGGTACGTACAATACAGGTTGTTAACAGATCCTGCAGAATATATCTATCACTACAGTATATATAATTGTTTAACACTCTATTAATTCATCATACATTTTACTAGTGTGAGCTAACTTATACATTTCACCTTAATAATGGAAGATTGTAAAAAAGAAACATGTCACGTTTGTGATATATGGGTGTGATTGCATCGTCTTTAAGAAGGGAAAGAATGAGTTAAATATCAAAAAATTTAAAAAGTTTTATTTAATATACAACGCTTGTGTTCTATTTACTTTATATAATGCACCATTGAAATATTTGTATTACGTGAAATTTTACAAACACAAAAAATAGATATTTCGGATCTAGTGTTTTTTTTCTGTTGATGCATCATGTTTTCAAAAGCTACATTATGTTATTCACATGCTTATCACTTCAATTCAACCCTAGTACTGTACTTTCACATTATTTTATATCGGCTACCTCTTGGAAATGTACATTTTGTTTTTCAACGTAACGATGTAACGTGTACTAATGTCTCTATAATAATGTCACAGGGTAGTCCTGAATATTTAAAGTGCATTTTTCCTTTTAGGTTTTATTCAACCCATGCACATTGACTGCAATGTAAATTGTTAAAGAAAATTGAAAATAACAATTAAATATTAATACGGGTCTGTACAAGTAGATGTAATTATTTTGTCTAAGAGAGGTTGAGTTTCTATTGTCGATAATGTTCAGACAAATTAATATAAACACAGGCTTTGAAAATAAACTCTGATCTCAAAGGTTTAGCGCAATTTGTTTTACTACTGTAATGCGGAACGGAATGAAGAACGGGGCGGCGACGGAATGCTTAGCAGAAGGCAGTACACTCAGAAAGGTTTTACCAAGATATTTCATAATATATACCAGGCCCGTAGCCTTCTTTTAAATTTGTACAAGATGACTGACATTTAAGGTCACCTACACCATATGGCGTCGATAACACGTACACTGTTACATCCGACGTTGTAGGATAAACAACTGATCTGGGCAGAATTGTCGCCATTTTCTCAGTTTACCCTTTCCACTTACTATTTTATATACTCATTTACACTAAACAGAAAATATTTTGTCCAGATATACTTCACACACTTTTATTTTTCTAATAAATTAAAAAAAAAATGGTTTTAGAATTTAATTTGCAGAAGAAAACAAGTTAATATTGTAAGCTAAGTAATTGTCCCGATCTCTTCCCTCAGAATCCGGATTTTGCCACCCTGACACCCTTGGGAAAATTTAGATATTCAAGATGGCCGCCATGAGGCATTTTCTGTTTATTTAGCGGGGTAAAATGTGGCTGATTCTCTTGGACCTGCTGAATCTATTGAGCTTGGGTATTCCTCCTAATAAAGATGGCTAATTCCACTAGAGGAGCCAAATTCAAAATGGAGGCTCATTTTGACGGGAAACTCATAAAGTTCACTAAAAAAGACGTGTAATATATTGAAATGTAGGTTTTGGGTGGATTATGTATCTTTAATATGTGTAGATTCAGAAACTGGATGATGCCACTCTGGCACACCTGGGTTAATTTAAATATCAAGATGGCCGACATGAGGCATTTTCTGATTATTTACTTTAATTCAGTATGGTAAAATTCGGGACAGATTCTCTCGGACCTCGGTATGAAGGTGGTTTCTATCAGAATTTGACATGCTGAATCCAATGAACTTGGGTATTTCTCCTAAACGTGATGGCTAGTTCTGCTAGAAGGGGTCAAATTCAAAATGCAGGCTCATTTTGGAGGGAAACTCATAAATTGCCCCCAAAAGGTGTGCAATATATTAAACTATGGGTTTTCTGTGCAATTACCTCAGATATTAACATAAGATCATGTTCCTATTAAATGGTATTCCAGGTTGAGCTCACATTCAAAATGGCGGCCATTTTGTCAAGACAACGATGTTAGTAATGTATTAATCTACATGTATAGGTTTTCTGATTCGCCAAATTCATATCTAAATGGCGAAATGTGTCACGACCGAATGAAACGCCAACATGGTTCTAAAATTCAACAAAATAACTAAATTTATTAGACCATGGAAGAAAATAGAACCGGTAATGGAAAAACTTATATATCACAGGAATAAAAGCACCAATCATAGGCCTATACGAACAGAAGCTACGGAGAGGGAATTGTCAAGCATACATTATAATCCACTATGACACCCGTCCATGTCTCCTTCCTGTACTAGAAGAAAGAAGGGAATAAGAGATGGAAAATGTTAGCTAGCGTGAAACAAAAGCCCAGCTTTGCAGGATACGGATGAAAATCGGAAGAACCAGATTGTTCTACCGATTGTGTGTATTCCAGATGTGAGATTGGACAAGACAATTATGTGAGGACCGTGTATAATTTGTGTCCATATAAATATTCAAGGGGAGGAATATCATCGGTTTTTATGTCTATATCTGAAGTAATTAACGAAAACCTATATTTCAATATATTACACACCGTTTTAGTGAACATTATGAATTTCCCCAATCTGATTAAAATACAGATCTTTAATTCGTTTCGTTTTTTTTATACTTTCGATGGCCTACACTACATAAAGATCTAACCGGTTGTAGCAGAAGGTCGCTAATCAGCGTTGACGTTTCTAGTGGTTTACCCACAGTTCCGTGCATCGCACGCCAAGAAATCGCCGTAACAGATTGTTTCATTGGCTAATCCCTCACGCCACCCAGAACGCAGGTTATATTAACAACTCTTCCAGATCCTAGTTTAGTACAGACATATAAAACGAAATTTTGAACTATAAAAAACGAAACGAAATAGGATTCCGCGGGTGAAATTCTCATAGAAACCATCTTCATACCGAGGTCCGGGAGAATCTGTCTCGAATTTCAACCCACTAACTAACCAGAAAATGTTTCAGGGTGGCCATCTTGAAAATTAAAATTTCCCCAAGGGAACCTACACATACTGAAGATATATAATCTATCAAAAACATTAGGTGAACCATATTTCCATGTTTGTCGACCTGCTGCCGAAATAGCTGTGAATGCATTATACCCTCTCTTCCTATTTTGTTGTCCAAGCAGCTGATAGTTGTTTCTGTACATAACTGCCCTTTTAGTAGCTCACTGCATGGTGTATGTCCGTTTTCATTAGGCCATAATATATCGGCCTATAATAAATGTATATCCCGAATACACGGGCAAATACGATACAGCGTTTGCCCATCATAATACTATAATTGCTGTGGGAAAAATGTTGTGGTTATAGTTTGTTTCTGTAGACGTCCCCGGTAAATCCCGAATTTTAACAAAGGTGTAACGAACAGTCGTACAGGGACTAAAATGATCCGTTTGTAATTTATAAAAAAAATCGGCCTAACCATAAGTTCTGCTGAAATGATAATTTATAAACTAAAGTCAAACTAGTGAAAATATTGTAAATATTATATAACTGTTTCCATCACATGGAATACTAATTGCAATTCTGTGTTCATTTCTCTCATTATTAATCTTCAGAAAATATGAGAGCGGATCGTTCTCAACTTTAGTCCACAGTGATAACTGATGCTAGAAGCCCCCCCCCCCGCAATATGAATTTACCGATTAACACGATTTTACCACGCAAACTTTTACAGTCCCAAAAACACCGGGAATGTGTTTCACTTTGAAAGTTTATTCACGTGAAACATTTATTGAAAATTTTATTATTTAAAAAATAAATTAAATGTATGTTTTTAGACTAAGTAGATTGTTGTTATGAGCTGCCACCCACATAGTTTAGTTAAGTCCCAAGTAAATAAGTCAGAATTGGGCATGGCTGTCTATTTTACAGAAAAATAAGAACCAATTTTTTTAGAGTTATTTGTAGCCACTATTTATAGTTCGGGGTGTAATATATCCAAAATAACACCTTAGAAACCCTGTCCATGGTTAAAAGGCTTACGACACAAGGGCGATAACCCTCGTCTAAGAGTGACACCCAATAAGTTAATAAATTGTCACACCGATTGAGATTAGGAGCGATAACTCTTCAATAATTTGAAGCATGATAGCTTATATGTAAGCAAAACAAGTCGTTTAAAATAGAACTAAATAAACCCGAGACTTGATAACACTATTTTAATGTAAAGAATGTTGTTTTATGTCCGGGCAATATTTTCTATCTTACCATTGCCAACATTTTTTAAACCGGCAGATTTGAGCTTAACTTTTGAAACAACATATATTCTTATAGAGCTGACCCTATCTAATCGAAATAACCAGAACAACTCAACCGAATAATTTTATTTTGTAATAAATCAGAGAGGTCTTAAAGACTTATAATATTATTACATATGAAAAAACACTGGGATACATCACTAACCTAAAAAGTTCTCATTGTTCGGAGTCGGGTATTCATCGCATTTCTCACGATGGCATTGTAAAGCTGGGATTGATTTCAGTACCACTGGTCTTTACTTTATAATTTTCGTTCTCCTTTTTTGATTGACAGAAAACCTTTAAAGTCAATATCACTACAAGTAAAACTATAACACCTATAAGAACACCCGTTGTAACCCAAAACTGTTGACTGGTAACCATGTTTTCCATTTCTGTGAAATCTATAAAAGGTTAAAATTAACATTTGAGATGATTGGGTAAGCTCGGATTTAGCCTGGGGACCCCAGTCGTATTCGCCTTGAAGCCATGACAAGCATGACTAAATGACTTAGTTCAGAGGAAACAAAAAGAGACATTGAAGACAGACATCCGCTATGCAGCGTGATATGTGGGACAATTTAAACGGGACAGCGGCGTCTTATTTCAAGTTCCAATTATCCAGGGTTCTAAGTCACGGGTGTCAAGGGCTTTTAGTCCCATTCTAGCAAGAAAACATATTTTATAGGGCATATAAAATCAATGCATAAAAGTTGTATTTGCTTGACCTTCCTGTGTTACATAATACAGTCCAAGAATCATATAAATTCATTAATAATTAATTGAGAGAATTCATTACCTGCAGATGCATTTTCTTCTCCCAATCCCCTGTAATCACCACATTTTGGGAAACCAAGAGGAGTTTTCGGCTGCTTAGAAAATGATTCATTTAAGGCCATTGCCATTCCATCCATATGATGTATTTCAATGTGACAATGCATAAACCAAACCCCTGGATTATCCGCCTTGATTCTAACAACTACATAGCCTCCAGTCGGTACAATGATGGTATCCTTTCTGGGTGGATTCTTTAGTTCAAGACCAGGTATATTACCCCCTAACCACGAAGAGTTTGACCATGTGGCGTCATTGCAGAAACTTTGCTCTCTAGGAACACCACCCCGACAATCTATATCCATGTTATCTCCAGTTCTTTTACCGGTTGTACTGTTGTACGGGGCATATCCCATCTTTACAACATAAAACGAATGACCATGCATATGTATTGGATGTGACCAGCCTCCTCCCTTAGCCATATTGGTAAACACAAATTGATACACTTTACCATGATCAAGATTCAGTGTGTACAGGCATTTACATATTTTTTGGTCCCCACACTCTTCGCCACACTTAAGCTTTTCTAATTCATGTGGCTGGGTTTGCGCCGAGACAGGTGGTAGTTCTAAAGCCCTTCCGTTAACAGACCCAGGCGTCCATGTAGTACCAGGAAACGCAAAATTGAGAAAGTGTTCAGCAGAGTTGTATGGGGACGTCGTGGGAGCGGGGTCGTCGTTAGGTAATGATTTTAGATCATCAAATGTCATACAAACGGTAAATTCCGCCGTTGGATAAAATGTAAAAGGACAGTTGATAACAAGACAAGGGTCGGATTCAGAGCAGCTTTTTCGACTTGATGTAGGTTCCTCATCTGCTGCACCATTATATCTTAGTATAGCTTCAGCAGTATGGTTCTTTTCTACTTCCAGCGTATGTGCTCGGATCCAGTAGTTTCCACTTGGTTTATCAGTTGTTATGTAGAAATCAAATCGTTCACCCGGATTTATTACAACAGATTCAGCAGTCACTGGTTGTAAATCATAACCATCAGAAGCTATAACAGTTATATTATGTTCATCAATCGATATACGAAAGGGATAAAGAGAACCAGTAGATATCCATCGAAATTTATGCTTTAAACCCGGGGATACATTAAATACATGCAGAGGGGCTTCATTGTGTTGACCAATATCATTATAATATCTGCCTTTGCCATTAATCAGCCCTGAGTGAAAACGGAACAAACTAAAATAGGACCCATCCAAGGAACTCGTACCTCCCAACTTTGTACGATTCATATATATGCCGTAAACCATCCTATTATATCCCTCATCTGAATTCCAATCATGATTCCAATCATTTAGAACTGCCAAGTGTTCATACATTTCCAAGGCTTTCTTCTCGCGAATAATAAAAGCTCCATAAAGGCCCATTGATCGCTGAACACCGATGTGGGAATGATACCAAAAGGTGCCTCTAGGTTCTGCAGTGAAACGATATGTGAATGTCTGACCCGGCCCAATGGGACATTGGCTTATATACGACACACCGTCCATAAAAGGGGTGTTGGGTTGATGGAGACCATGCCAATGTATTGAAGTGGCTTCACTTATCAAGTCGTTTTTGACATGAATTATTACCGTTTGACCTTCATAAACCTCTATTGAAGGACCTGGTAAGGTACCGTTGGCAACAATGACTAATTTTGAATTTTCCCAACCATCAGCAGAAATGATGTTACTTGTGTCTTTTATAGAATATTCCACGGAGGTTCTATTTTCGTTGTAGGGGTAAAGTCTTCCTCCCATTGGATATACAGCGGTTTTGTAGTCCATCATAGTAAGCTTGAATTTAACGTCCAACCAGAATTCACATGTATCGGCTGTCATGTCACACGTTGTACCTAACACAGCAGGTAACGGCAATGCCATCAACAACGCAACAAATTTAATTCCCATCATTCTGAAAAAAATAATTAAAAGTGAAATGTATTCTCTTGAAGGTCTAAGTATATATATCTAAAATCATGACTAATTATAGAAAAAAGTAAAACTCAAAATGATCTCGGTGTATATCTGGAATCAAAGAAAGTGTAAAATTATAATACCAGTCAAAAAAAAAATATTTCACAAAGTAAAATAAATGATGTTCTCTGTGTCAAAGATTGCAATAATAATGATATGTGAAATAAACTCAAAACATTAAACACGTGTTTAAAATCTGTTACAGAATAATGATAGTGCACCAGGGGAAAACCTTGACTCTTGATTATGTAGTAGCAGGAATATTCGATGCCAGACGACAAAAGGTCAATCTGATTAAAATACAGATCTATATTTCGTTTCGTTTTTTATACTTTCGATGGCCTACACTACATGAAGATCTGACAAGTTGTACTCGAAAGTCGTGTCAGGGGTCGTACGAGCGGCTTTTGACCCCTTGACGCCTGACATTGATTAATGAATCAGCGTTGGCGTTTCTAGTGGTTTACCCACAGTTCCGTGCATGTCACGCCAAGAAGTCGCCGTAACAGACTGTTTCATTGGCTTATCCCTCACTTCAACCAAAACGCCGGTAATTTAACAACTCTTCCAGATCCTTGTGAAGTAAAGACAAGTGAAACGAAATTTTGAACTATAAAACACGAAACGAAATAGGATCTTTGTTTTGATCAGATTGACAAAAGGTAAGGCAAGTGGAGAAGATGGTTTATCATATACCCCGACAAATCAGTCCTTTATTTGGTCTCATCGCCACTTTTCTACACCAGTTTCAAAAGGTTCATCCTTGTCCGAACAGCAGCAAACAATTGTTTGAAAAATCACAGCCGCTTAAATGAAACCCGTGACCCGTATAGAAATATTACTAGTTCTTAATAGTAATTGAGACAATAACTCTCATATAATTGGTTTGGCTAGAAAAATATGTCAACATGTGTGTATGTTAGATGGTGGGAGACGATTACTAGTTTTTACCGATAGGGTTTATCTTTATGACTAGTTGAACAATTCAAGCAGGCTTAAGATTAATCTACGAACGTCGTGTGGCGAGACGAGCGTATAGGGCAATATAGTAGTGACCATCCTTCATTTTGTGCCGTAATAAAATAGCCTTATCTAAAACCATTTGTTAAATGTGTATACCCTTTTTACTTAAATCTTTGTTGGTTTTTTAATATTATTTCTAGTATGATAGCGTAGTGTAATCTCCCAATGCCTTGTACAATTAAGGTAAGATGCATACATCTGAGACAAGCGTAAATGTAATCATAATCATGCATTTTACTTAAATTGGAGCCATGCAGTTAGAGCACAGGAAGCGTAAATTGCTCAGTAATCAATTAGTTTTGGTTTTATTTACGTAATACATGCTGCCTTTTGTATACCTTGCATTTCGGAGCCCCCCACCCTTCTCGAAGTCAACATCGTAAACGCGATAGTCTACATTTTATCACGGATTTATTTCAAAATTGGTGCGTGTGATTGACAAACTTTTATTCATATTCAGTAATCCGTGACATTCTGTTCCGAAGTTACCCCGCTTTGTCCTAAATTTATATGAACGCGATAGTGGCTACAATTTTTCACAGATTTATTTCTGAAATACGACGAGACCTAATACTCAGTTTTCCGTCCTTCTTTTGAAACATGTAAGCACATCTTGCATGACAACTGTTAAGAAACACGAGCGGTATTTTATCTGCACATACGTCCAAAATAGAAAGTGGTGGCACTGACATTTATTTTTCAACAAGTGATAATGAAACAATATGAATTGTCAATCGTTAAACATGCATTATGCAAGAGCTAAATCTGATTATTGCAAGTCTTAATTTAGGCTTCAGATGTTATAGAAATTATAAATTAGATCTTTATTTAAACAACAAGACCAAAATCAACTCTGTAGACCCACGGATGGCTCGGCTACAGCTCGGATTTAAATAGGATTTCACTAATTGATTCACTGATGAAAATACGTCTGTTAGATCGAGGCTAAATGATAGAGTGTACTTAGCGAGGCCGCTGTAAAGCTTTTCCGTATGCCATTGAAAACTTTACTTGATAATCGAGATATGTAGGTGGAGTTAACGCCTGTCAATCAAACGATCAGCGAAGGTGAAGACACAATTCGCTACCATTTCTAGCCAAATATTACAACGATGATAACTATGTTCAGAATAAAGTAATTTGACTGAATTTTTCAATATATTCTTCTTTCATCATCTACTTTTGAACTGTTATAGCAAGAATGGCCAACTCTCTATAAAAAATCTCCCATAATGTATCTTTAACTGACTCAAAATGATTCTTGATTTTCCCTTGTCAAAAATAACACGTGTTGTTTCATCTCTATTTAGGTGTGGAAATACAGAAATACATTACCATATCAGTCGGTTTGGGACAATCAATTCATGCCCAGAGAGCTAAGTATAAACTGAAAACAAACGTATTAAAAAGAATTTATAAATTCTAATTTCGTAAAGGAAGCGAATGCCATAGTCTGTAACAAAGCTTCGCTTCATTTCAGCCATCTACTTTGAGAACGACAGCAACGCTCATTCCCGTTTGCCCTGATGAACTCCTCAGAGAAGTTTAATAAATTTTAGACGTGAAAAGGACCAAACTGGAATCAACTTTGAGAGCTACTTCTACATTAGGATATGCCGCCGTCAACCGGGTTTTGTGAATTAGACAATATCGTAAAAACCGTTTTGAAAATAATAGCTAAGGTCTATGATAGTCCATCTGAGGCGCGATGGCATTATCAATGACAACTGAGTGAGATTCGTGAAGTAGAGAAAATATGCTTAAAAAAGATATACAATTCATTTTGCTCCGATTTTTTACTTGGGTCGTAGGCACCCGCCTACACCATATCATTATTCCTACCTATCTCTCCAAGTACTAACGTCCAGCTTTATATAACATGAACAGTTACCTGCCAAATTTATTCGTTCTAATTTCTATAATTGACATAATTAACCCCGAGGAATAAAATATATCTTCTGGTTACAAATCAACACATCTTTAAACGTCGGTTTAACCGATTGTACAGCTACTGAATTTTATATTAGAAGTTGGACACGTAGCCTATGCAATTGAAACCTGTGTGCACTTGTGCCGTAAATTGAAACTCGTTATCTTTGAACGGACGCCTTGACGAAACGGTCAGAGTGCATTTATTTGTTACACTAATTCTGACTTCTTGTCCCTTTAAAATATAACGGTTGAATCCCAGGAAATGATATGTTTAACGATCGTCATATCAAGAGGTTTATAAATATTGTTCAGCGAAATGTTTTGTATTTTATGGCATACTTTGTATAGTCGGCAGTGTTTAGTCAGTACAGCCGTATCTAAAGTACAATATTTACTCTCTGGGGTCATCTCATTCATGGATAGGGTTTCGTCCTATTCATTTCATCTAATTTATATTCACTTGTTAAAATATAACATAGTTATGACGGAGTGCAAGTCCTTACGAGAATGTGATTCAAAACTACTATGTTTTTTGAACTTTCAGGTAAATAAACTGTCCAATCTGTACCTTGTACTACATTAACATCTGATATTTTGCTTGAGGTCGGCGTTCAGATCACATGAATTGTTTGAATAATCACATTGTCTGTAGGCTTTTTAAATGAATTTTTATATAGCCTATTTAGAAATTGGTGGTTTAGGGTTTATAAGCATTTGTAAATCAATTGTCTATATAAATGTTAGAACAACGTGATTACAAAATATTGGTTAGATTATAATGTAAAGTAAATCAGAAATAAATTAACAAAACTTAATTGTGTTCCAATTTTTATTCGATTGGCACATTGTTTAGTATTAAGTGTATGTTCGCGTCCGATGTCGGGTGGCGTATCATTGATTGAACCATTGATCTCCAAGAGAAACTGTTCCAAGAAACAAAAGTCATTCCATTCTTCCATAATTAAGAAAATGAAAATTGGCTAAATATCTGGCCTATATGAAATAAATGTAAACGATGGATTAAAGCTAGCTGTAATATTGTAACGTCGACGTGGTCTCCGCTACAATTGCTACATTCATTGATGCTTTCCGCATTTAAAAATAGCTTTCGACCAATAATTTTCAACACATATCGTCATAACTTCTATTAAAATAAAAGCTTTTATAACAATAAAGTATGAACAATTAAAATGGAAACTAAACACTTTCTCTTTGAGGTAACGTGTTTTATCTTCTTGAAGTGACCATGGCGTTACGTAAAATCTCGCGTAGTAGTTTAATGATTCAAAGTCATAGAATTACGCGGTAAGGTTTCACTTTATTTCAATGTGGATTAGTGAATTGGTTATTGGTATGTAATGTGATGTAAGTCTGTTAAACTATGTAGTGCCTTTGGGACCAGATTAATTGGAAATTAAGAGAGCTATATCTCTATAACATTTTTTGTAATGAGTGGCCGGAGTGAAAAACGGAAACTATCGTACCATTTCTAGCTAGCTGTTAGCCTGTTCCTGTTTGAATTTCTCTATCTTACTTAGATGATACTACCACATGAAGTTTATGGATGCCGGAACCGAAACCGGAATGTACAGCAAATCGAGGTTGGCTGTGTGATGACAAAGTACTATAACCGTACAGTATTTAAATAATACTTTAATAATTTTAAAAATTTAAGCCTTCGAATTTAATCCAAAGCAATTCCATATTATAACTATGGGATTGTACTTGATACATTAGTCTTTAAGGTCTATCCGACTTAATAGGTACTAGCCAGTATGGTCCTGTGATTGAAGATAATTATTATTATTAGCTTCCATTATTAAAGAATTGAAGTTCGATTAATTTGAAAAACTTGTTGCGGTATGTACGATTAGTACTTATTTCAGTTTTTTCTCCCAGTAATGCCAAAAATAGTTGCAAACGACACATCATATTCAAATTCTAAATTTGATGTAAATATACGAAAATATGTACACCAACCTG